AATTTGGTATTTTTGGTTCTCATTGGATAGCAAATCTTTTTTTATCAAAGAGGACAAATATCAGTCCACTTTTTTGGGAAGTCCCAATAAAACTCACTCTCTCCCATATTCTCTGAATCGTATTCTGCAATAGCAGGCAAAAAATCGGTTACCATATGAACATAACGTTCCGAATTGCCAGTCTGTGGGTTTGTCTGTATGTAATGGCCTCTCTTCGATTAAGTGAAGATTCTCAGAATTTAATCTCCTTTTATAGCAAATTTCTGCCAGATTGGATACGGTTTATTTTGGTTTCAATAGACTAAATCGTTTCCAACCCCCGATTTTAAAGTTTGTTTTTGTTTTATAGGGCTGTTTTTTTTTTCTTGACTGCTTCTACTAGATCTATTCTACCTAGGTATCTACGAATTACTATTCTTGATCAGCGTAAATTTCTATAACGATTCAAGCATGTGCGTCTGTCCATCCATCTGTTGTAATCGCTCTAGCGTCTAAACGAATTGAGATAGATCGCCAAAATGTTGCTATATCGGTCCACGTTTAGGCATAGCTCCCATATAAGGGTACACCCCATTTTTTCGGTATTCTAGGGTTCTTGAGCCTGCTTTTCAACCGAATTCGCTGAAATTTGGTACATGGCGTTCTTATTGGGTACCAATTTTTTCCACTAAAAATTATAAATATCGGTCCACTTTTTCTGGTAGCCCCCCATATAAAGGTAGCTCCAGATTTTCGATTTTTGGGATTCCTGAGTTGTTTTTTCCACCAAATTCGATTAAAATTCGTTTAATGAGTGCTCGTTTTTCAACCGAATTCGCTAAAATTTGGTACATTGAGTTTGTATTGGGTATTACAGATGTCCACCTAAAATTATAAATATAGGTCAATTTTTCCGGATAGCCCCCATATAACGGTACTCTCCAATTTTCAGCATTTTGGGGTTTTTGAGCGCGTTATTTGGTATTTTATAATCCGAATTGGATTAAATTTGACACAGCTCATTTATTTGGCCCAAGGACCAACCCTATTGAAATTGGGAGAAATCTGTTTAGATTTAGATATACCTCCCATATATATTTTCGTCCGATTCAATGTAATTGGTGCACAAAAGTCCCTATATATCTTTCTCTTTGCACAAACACTAAAATGATCTGTGTTAAGTTTGTGGGAAATCGGTTCAGATTTTCATCCGATTTAACGTTATCGCACCGAAGACCCAACGGTCGTTCGATTGCGATGAAATTTTGCACAATGTACCAAATTAAGAAATACGTATATTTTATACCCTAGGTTGTGTCCTTTACTTGTAAGGGTATTACAGCTTTGTGTGGCCCCCAGAGTTTGCAACGCCGTTTTGTCCCAGACCCACCGTTTAGTATACCGATCGTCATATAGCTGAGACGATCTAGACATGTGTGTCCGTCGGAACACACATCGCTACATTCTTGTATTCCGGGGATACAGTACATTCTTCCTGAAAAATAAAAACCCATAATCAGGTCTTGGTATATGAAATCCAAGTAATGCATATCTACTAGCTGTATAATAAATGTAAGCTCTAAAACATTTTGTTGCCTGGGACATAAAAGGTTAATGAAGATTGGTCAACATTTAGCGGGTCAAATGAAGCCAGCCTTTTCGGTGAAAAATCATAAAATGTGTATTCTGTACAAACCCGAGAAGTTGATATTATATCGAAGAGGTGTGGTTGACCTTTAAACTGATACCAATTTTATTGTTCTATGTGGGAGTTATACGTAAATGTTTATAGGGGTTTACTTATTCCGATATTGTTTAGTATTACCATTGCCAAACTAATGGACGAAAATGTAGCCCTAATGGCGAGGAAATTTTGCCTGAGGTTCGGGTTATGGTCAAGAATTTTATTTGATGAACAGATGATATTTCGGGTATGAAATGGACCGAAAACGCCAACAATTATAAGCCGAACATCACAAAATTTTCATGGGAAAGATCTGGCCAACTAATTCGAATGACTCTCATGATAATTAGGTTTTCAAATAAAGCGAAACATTTGTGTGAAAAATGAAAAAAATAAATATTATTATTATTATCATTTTTAGTCTGGGAAAACGTGATTCGCAAAAGATTTCGCAGAGGAGCTGTTGCCATCTAATCGGTTAAGGGATGGCAATTTTATCACGAAAAATTGCCCAGAATTACCCAGGATCGGTTCAGATTCAGACAACTGCTCTTTAATATAACACACCGATAGCACTGTGCATCAATATTTTGGCTTGTTGTACCAAATATAGTACCATTTAGTAGTACACATATGTACTATACTTCCATATCTCAATTCTACACTCCAACAGCAACCATTATTCCAAATATTAGGTTTCCAGCTCTCTGCGTTCACTAAAATCCAAATTGTACAAAATCTAGTGTCTTTTTGTACTTTTCGTACACATCAATACGAATTTCCAAATATGTCTTTATAGCTCAATCTTCAATAGTAATCTTAATTCCAAATTTCAGTTTTTCTGCTCTAACCGTTCACCAAAATCCAAATTCTGTTAAATTTAGTACCATTTAGTACTTTTCGTACCGATAAGTACGAATTTCCTATACTACCTAAATTCTACACTCCAACTGTCATTTAATTTCCAATTGCAAGGCTCCAGATCTATACGTTCACCTAAACCCAACTTGTACAAAATTTAGTCCTATTTAGTACTTTTCATACACATTAGTACGAATTTTATTAACTACCTCAATTCTGCACTCCAGTAGTAATCCTAATTTGTATTTTCAGGATTCTATCTCTATACGCTCTACTAAATGCAAATAGTACCAAATTTAGTACAATTTAGTACTTTTTATGCACATAAGTACGAATTTGTAAAATCATTTACATACATCAACACAACTTCCCAACCTTTATTCCGTATATATTCTAGCTATGTATGTTCAGTATATACAATTAGAACTAAATTTAGTAACGTTTAGTACTTTTCGTACACTTTTAGGTCGATTTTCCAAAAACCTTTTTCTACATCTTTCTAACTTTCCATCAGTGACCCACATGCCAAATTTCAGAATTCTAGCTCTTCCCGTTCGCCTAATACAAAGGGTACCATATTTGGTACATTTTAGTACTTTTCGTACCCTACTAGTTCGAATTTCCAAAAACCCAGCCTTATCTCACGCCTACACAGCAACAACAATCCACACTCAAAATGTGAAGCTTTAGCCGTTTCATCTGGGCGATGATCTTTCAGTCGCGCTTAACGCTAAGCTCTTTTATATATTAAGATAATCTGTTGCTTAAGATATGCACAAAATCGATTTTATTATCTGAAAACCGGTTCAAAAATGTAAATATCCGGATCTGTCTCCCATAAATATTAAAAATGGTCGATTCTCTCGATAAAACAAACGAACCTCGATTTCTGGTCATTGAGGTCCCTACTTGAAATCTTATTACAAGCCTTTTTTGGAGAAAACATTAGAAATTTTTTCTGTCAGAAAAACCGGCATGTAGTTTATAACCAGTGAGCGGAGCAGTATAGTCGGACGGGGCCGACCATATGATACCCTACACAACTACCACAGAACTCTAACTTTTGCGTATGTTTATTTCGAGCCTGATCAATATTTCGTGATATTTTCACCCTCTTGGTCGAATAGAGATCAACAACAGGAAGAGGTGCTTCCTTACATTGACATATTTTCCGAATATCCCAATATTCTGTACAGCCCTTTTAATTACTTGTCCAGATGTGATTTTCGGTTTTGTAGCCTATAGATCGACTCGAAAAAATACAAAAAAATTAGTTTTGGGTCCACTACATCCCAAAATTTTAATCTGATCATCACAGAAGTTATAGGCGTTGTCCTTGACCATACCTGGATCATCATGGAAAATTTCAAAGCAATGAGCGCTATATTTCCCCCCTCTATTGTGGTTATATGTTACTAAATAATATATGAATACGTAAGCTCCTGAAAATATTTACGTGTAACTCCCACATTCGAGTACATAAGATCATATAATTGGTATCAATTAAAAGGTGAACCACTCTTCTTGGATATACTATCAACTTCTTGGGTCTATGTCCTTCAGGAGTAAATATAAACGCTATAGAATAAAAATTTTGTAATTTTTCACACAAAAGTCAGGGTCCATTTGACCCGCTAAATATTGACCGATATTAATCAAAACAGGCGTGCTTATTCTTTGGCCCGATCCTCTTCTCCATGCAAAAATTCGCGATGTTTGGACCATAATTGCGGTCTCTGGAGCGACCAGAAAAACCGACAATAATTAAGTATTTGGTCCATTTCATCCCCTAAATATTAACCGATCTTTACCAAAAACAATAGGGGTCTTCATTGGGCAGAACCCATCCTACATGCAAAATTTCGTGAAGATTGGTCCATAACTGTGGCCTGTATCGTGTTTACAAAATATAATGGACAGACGGACGGACGGACACACATGTCTAGATCGACTCAGCTAGTCGAGATATGACGATCGGTATACTTACAGGTGGGTCTAGGACCAATATTTCGCGGTGTTACAAACTATTGGGGCTGCACAAAGCTATAATACCCTGACAACATAGTTGTGTAGGGTATAAATAGTTTACATAAAAAATAACAGCTTTAAAAATTTTGTACCGTCCAGTTTGAGAATTTTGAACATTTTGCCCTTATTGTAAAACATATATATAGAGTTCTATAATCCGTGTAAATACCTTTTTCAACATGGGTAGTCTTTTTATTCTCCTTTTGGCATATCAAATTGTTGAGCTTTCGTGTTAATCTCAGATTCCACATACATTTTTTCTCATGACGGATAGCATATAAAAGTTAATATATGTCAAAAAGTTTTGAATAACCCCCATTTGATGCTAGGTATATGAAGTATAATTTAATATCAAAATAAAACATATATGTACGTATATGAAGGTGTGTGTGCCTTTTTCGATTTTATTTCATGTTTTTTATATTTCTCTCTCTATTCTTTGTTTCAGATCCTTGTCTGTACATAATGCGTTTTGCCAATAAATTGCAATTCGGTGCTAAGGCTCATGAAGTATCAATGACGGCATTGCGTATCGTTCAACGTATGAAAAAAGATTCCATCCATTCGGGTCGAAGGCCAACCGGTCTCTGTGGTGCAGGTAAATATGTTTTTCGATGCTGTTGTTATTTTCCTTTTCTTTGTCGATTGATGCAATTTAATTGTGAGTGCTGTTTTTTTATTTTTCACAAAAAACTGGGGGTATGTTCCGGATTTTATTGCAAAGTTAGCTGTTCTTTTGTGTTTGCCCACAAAATACGAGTATGTGCGTATTTATGGGCCTCCACATGCATACATGTAGTGTTGTTGAATTGTTGTTTTGTTTTTGTAGAAAAACAATGTTTTTTAGTATTGTTCCCGGTAAGGCTCTCTAGCGCTGTATTTAGGTTTGTTTATATTTTTTTATTAAGAGTAAAAATAATAATAAATAAAATAAAACTATGATGAAGTACTTGTTAAACTGGATGTTAAGGGGTCATTCACTTCAGGTGAGTAGTTCAAACAAAAGTGATGTTGAGTAAAGACCTGTTTACAATATATATGAAATTACATATGTATATTAAAAAATATATTATTTAATAAAATAATGATGTGTTGACACATAACGGTTATGTTTGTTTATTATAAATTTTCTAGAATTTTAATAAAAGTAATAAAATGTGAGTGAAATGCTGTAGTGCTGGCTTTATTGCAAATTGTGCAGATCCTATGAATGCGTGTTACAACATTTATACCCTACACAACTGTATCTATATATTTATTTACTTTCGTTTTCCTGCTAGCTCTTGAGGACAAAAATTGAAAAAAAAATTAAAAACTATCCGCTCTAGTCGTAAGATTCAACCCTCCACCATATGATGTACATTTACCATTTACAAAGTCGGGGTCTCCACACGGAGATATGGATAGGTTCTTTGTACAGACACTAATGTTGGAAAACTAGGCAAGAACTTAAACATAGCAAAAATTAAGCGATATCTCTGTATGTACTTTCAAAAATCGACCTCTATTGAAAATTTCCTGGGAAGAAGTATTTTTTTACCAGGAGCCTAGAAAGGCAATTGCAGCATTTTTTGTTGGAAAACCCGGCTACAAGCCTCAAAATGCCGATAATTTTACGTGGAATTTATATCGGGTTATATCAACGTAGGGGATGCTAGATACCGAGCAACGGCTCTGATTGGCTTTAACGTGGCAAAGCCCAGGCTTATCTTTTTGGTCCCTCTTTCATCTCAATTGTGGTCACTGACCTTCCAGCGGTGTCACCTGGGGTAGCTACTTTCATCACTCATTGAAATAGTTCTTTGCCTCCTACAATGAAAAGGCAACGAAAAAGAAAACCAAATCCTCCTAATGCTGACGACCCTCGCAAACCAGGACCACGATCTGCGAATGTGCCTTTGGAATGTGCGCAGGTTGTATAGAACAGGCGCAGTTTTCGCTTTGGCGAAAAACCGATATTATAGTCTTACAGGAAATGCGATGGAAAGGGACAGGTGTAAGTAAATCAGACGATTGGGCACCGTATTATAACTGTCATGAAACGAGACATGGATTTGGCTACGGATTTATGGTTAAAAGAAGAATAAAAGGCCTCGTCTCCAGATTTACTCCAGTAAATGGTCGAATTGCTATAATCCGTATTAAAGCGAAGATTTTCTACATCAATCTTATTTGTGCCCATGCTGCGACGGAAGGCAAGGATGAGAAGACCAATGATATGTTTTACGAGATCCTAGAAACAGCATATGACCGATGCCGTGGCCATGACATTACAATTCTGCTAGGAGATTTTAATGCAAAAATCGGAAGGGAAAATATTTTTTGCCTCACTGTCGGTAAACTCACTGTCGGTAAATTTCTCCTGCTCAAACAACAGCAAAGGTGCGAAAATCTGCAAACACAACAGAAGCCTACTCCGCACAACTAATCCACCTGCTTGATGAAAGCACTCCTTGTTCCGATAATAATATAGAAGCACAATTGCAAAGAATTACTCACTCCCTACACAATGCAGAAAAAGCAAAACTTGGGTTCCAAAGACCACCATAAGAAACTCGTGGTACGATCAGGAGTGTCGTAATGCTACTGATGTGAAAAACGCAGCGTATAGGGCAACCCTGCAGACAGTAGCAACACGTAATGTGATGGAGAACAATCGGGAGAAAAGGTGAGAGGAGAAACGTATTTTCAGAAAAAAAGAAAGAACAAGAAAAACGTGAGCGTGAGCAAATCGATATGTACAGGAGTCAAAACGAAGTCCGGAAATGTTACCAACGAGTAAAACACAAAATCGAAGACTTTGGTGCAGGCACAGCCTCCTGTAGAGACGAAGAAGAAAACCTGGTGACAGATACAGATAGCGTGTTGAGGATCTGGAAGGAGCGTTTGAAAAGCTTCTGGTATTAAATAGTGGCGATGCAGAAGCTGTGGTATCTTCTTGAGTGATGACGGTATAGAGTGTATACCACCTAGCCAAAATGAGGTCAGAATAACAATTAGTCCGTTCAGAGGCATTTAAAGCCATGTCTGCGTTCGGCATTCCTGCAAAATTAATACGGTCAACAGTTAAAGTCGGAAAGGATCACTCGGAGCCTCGGAGCCAGACAAGGTGACAGTTTGTCGTGTGATCTATTTAACATCTTTGGGTGGAACATTGCGAGCAGTAACAGCCACTTTGAACAAATTGAGAAGGAGTATGCCAAAGTGGGTCTGGTAGTAAATGGCGAGAAGACTAAGCGCAAAACGTCCAGTAGACTCGGATCAACTGTGGAACTTGAGAACTAAAGCTTCGGGTTAGTCAAAGATTGGTACCGCCATAAATAAAACTAATGATAATCAGTTTTGAATTTCGGAGAAGGATAGTGTTGACCAACAAATGCTACTATGGTCTAAGTAAGCAGTTTAAAACAAGGCCACCAAGATCCTGAAGCGATGCAACATTGTGCCAGTTTACTCAATCTCGACAGGACGGCTGATATATTTAGAGCATCATATCCCAGAGTGACAAGGCGAAAAAGAGTGTGCTAAGACCGATAATATCACTCCCAGCCGAGGAGGTAACACCACAATTTAGATGTCATCAAAAACAGTAGTGTTGGCGGTTTATTTGGGATACCATTGGTATTTTGTTTTTGCAAAAATAGTCAGGCTGAATCCCAGTTTGTTGTTTTTGTAAAAAACAACTATTTATTAGTGTCATCAAAAACGCTAAGTAAGCAGGGTTGCTGACAAGGAGACCTTGTTGAACTCTTATAAAGCAATAGGCCGGTCAGAGATTAGCTTTGCGCCGCCAGTGTTGTTGGCGCATGTAAGTGGTACGCAGTGGAAGAATATACAGACCTGTCAGGTTGCAGCCCTGAGAACTGCAACAGGGTGTCTCTTCGTGACTCCAATGGATCATTTTCATGAGAAGCCGAAGATCAAACCCGTTCATCGTGCAATCAAATGTTGTCGATGCAGTACCTACATGAGTGTTATAGTTGGAAACACTCTTGCCTTATGGCACACCCACCCAGCCGGAGAGATCTTCATGATCTAGAGAGAGTTGTCCAAATATACAAGCGTGAAAAGCTTATCAAACAGGCTTGAATATCATTCACACAGAGGACATCACCATCCATAGCAACAGAGTGAATCAGCTGTCTAGACAGACACGAGTAGTATTAGCACAGCTAAGATCAGAATGATGCAACCGCCTCACTTGTTATCGGTCACGATTTATTAGAATTTCAGGATTCAGCCTCCTTCTTATCCCATACCTACACATCAACACCTATATCAAATTTTTTAACAATACAATTTTTTATACTTTTCGTACGCATTTAGTATTTTATTTCAAATTTTGAAATTCCTACCCTTACATTTAATACACAGTAATGTTATTAATATATTTTTCTTGCTTTGTTTTTTCAGCTCTCCTCATTGCGGCTCGTATGCACGAATTTAATCGTACAATTGTGGATATTGTGCGGATAGTGAAGATCCATGAATCCACATTGCGTAAAAGACTGACTGAATTTGCCGATACACCGTCAAGTGCCTTGACATTAGACGAGTTTATGTCGGTGGATTTGGAGGCGGAACAGGATCCGCCGGCATTTAAGGCAGCTAGGAAAAAGGATCGGGAGCGTATTAAAGAGGTTAGTCTATTAAAAATGATTTGATACTCAAATACTAAAAATTGAACTGATTCCTTTGCTTTCAGATTGGTGAAAGTGAATTAACGGAGCTGCAAAAGGAAATTGACTTACAGCTGGAGCAAGATCTCAAACGAGCACAAAAAAGCGCCCTCAAGCGATTAGCTTTCGGCAAAGACGACTTCGAGGAGGAAGAAACTGCCGAATTTATAGAAAAATCTAATCTCGAAGCGATACAAGAATGTCTGGCTGAAAATCCCGACCTCTCCGATGCAGCACCGAAAACACAAAAACTCGTTATACAAGGTCTTAAACCTGACATTGAATCCATGTGTCAGCCAACAGCAAGTGAGCTGCAAGAATTAGAAAAATCCCAACAAAAAGATGAAGGTGGCGAATTAAGTTTAGAAGGACTGGACGATGAAGAAATCAATAATTACATACTTACACATGAGGAAGCGGAACGTAAGAATATCATGTGGAAAGCTTTAAATGCTGAATACCTCAAAGAAATGAAAGAGAAAGAAGAGCGGCTAGCCAAAGAACGGGAAGAAGGTAAACCGGAGAAAAAGAAACGTAAATCGCGTAAGAAAGTAATAGGACCATCGACCACCGCTGGGGAAGCTATTGAGAAAATGTTGCAAGAGAAGAAAATCTCTACTAAAATTAATTATGATATTCTTAAGACTTTGACGGAGGGTGGAGCTGCAAGCACCAGTACTGCTTCGAATAGTAATAATGCAACGGATGGTGGTGGCTCTATAAAACAAGAAGTCAAACGTGAGGATATTAAACCTAAAGTTGATGTGATAATTGAATCAGGGCCAATTCATACTAAACATGGGTTCGTAAACAGATGTATGGAGATGTATGGTTTTATTAATGTTTTTCATTTCTTTTCAGTCGCGGAAAACCTTCATATTCGATAGGTGGCCCCAGTGCAAAAATACCCAAATTGGAAATGGGTCTACCGGTTGCTGAACCGGAACAAAAGGATGATGCTGTTGTTGTAGAGAATGGTAATTGTAACGGTGTTGTTTTTTTTAGAATATTTCGGTGTGACTTGTTAACTACACATTACTAATACATGTATGAATGTATAATTAGACTCAAGGACGAACACTATTAAAAACTTTAGAAATTGGTTTAGATTTAAATATAGCTTATATATTTTTTATCAGCTTTTATTAAAATAGTTCACCAAGAACAATACGCTCTGAAATTGGCAAAGCGTGCCGAATTAAGGCTGGAATGGCATATGGTTCAAACTCACCTAGCTCTTGTATAGGGGAGACTGGGGCACATTCGGCAATCGCGTTTTCGATATGTATACTTTCATACGATTTCATGTAAGTGGTGCATCTAATGCTGCCCATTTAACACAAAACATTCTATAGTTTACCGAAATGCCTATAAATGATTAAAAATTAGAAACATCTCCCAAATCCTCCTATTAATAATTAATTATGGACTTAATAAAAATACTTAATACTTTAATCATAAACTGAGTTAAAAATTAAGGATGATATTCAGCGATTGGATTTATCCTAGTTCATACAATAGCTATATACTCACAGAAAAACGTGTTAAAATTTGAAAGCGATTGATAATCGTGCCCGCTAATTTTAAAAACACTGTTTAGAGAAAAACTCGTTTACAGTTTGAGAAACACACTTACCGTCACCCTTCAAGAGTTGTTGGGACTTTCACTTGAGGTTCGAATTAAATAAAGGTATATCGTCGGTTTAACTTTTACAGGCAACAGGTCCGTATTTTAAAATTTTCCAGGAGAGACAAAAAAAAAATAATCAAATTTTCTTTTGAATAACGATTTTTTAAATCTGTAAATGCAATTTATTTTTTATTGTATATGTGCTTCATTTTCGTAAAGGCAAAATGAAACTAGTAAGGAAAGCAGTAAAGTTGGGCGGGGCCGACTATATGATACCCTTCACTACATTGGATATATTCAACAGATGCATCCTAACAGACGTCGCATTTTTGAAGAACCATTAACATGAAATTGACATCTTTAACTAATAAAATCGGACGAAACTATATAGGGGATCTATTTCTAAATATAAAATCGGACGAAAATATAAATGGGATATCTAAATCTGAATCGATTTTCACGAAATTTAGCACACATCTTTCTAGACTTAATTCAGTACACTACGACAAATTTCGTCTAAATCGAAAGATATATAGGGACTTTGGTGTTCCATTAACATAAAGTCGGACGAAAATATATATGGGATATCTAAATCTGAACCGATGTTCACGAAACCTAGAAAACATCATTCTGGACTGAAATTCTTGCAAATCGAAGGATATAAAGGGACTTTGGTGCACTATTTACGTTACATAGGACGAAATTATATATGGGAGCTATATCTAAATCTGAACCGATTTTCATGAAACTTAGCACACATCTTTCTAGACCTAATTCAGTACACTATGCCAAAATTCGTGCAACTTTAAAGTTATATAGGGACATTGGTACTCCATTTACATTAAATCAGACGAAAATATATATGGAAGCTATATCTAAATCTGAAACGATTTTTTCCAATTTCAATAGGGTTCGTCCTTGGGCCAAATAAATAAGCTGTACCAAATTTCATCCAATTCGGATCATAAATGTGACCTGTAGTTTGTTTACAATTTAATATGGACAGACGGACGGACATGCATAAATCGACTCCGAAAGTGATTCTATGCAATTTTCAAAACTATCTCGTTTGCTTTTGCCTGTTACAAACATATGCTCAAAGACATAATACCCAATAAGGAAGGAATAATAAGTTGTACAAAGTTTGGTTGAAATCAGATAGTCCGTTCGCATGAGTTTATAAAATTAATTTTTGCACAGTTGTGACCATTTTGTGAGTGAGCTGCCAGAAGGAGTGGACCGATATTTCCCATCTTCGAATTTGAACGAAGTTTGGTAGCAATACTACACTGTGCAAAGTTTGAGTGAAATCGGGTACTTCCTTCGACTTCAAATTGTCTGAAACGGATTTGGTCCAAAGAAACGTGGGGTCTAAAACCATAATTTCGATAAGGCACATTCTTATTTTATTTATCAAGGTGTATATAATACAATATTTAAGTTTTAAAATTAAATTTAAGATTTTAAAGAAAAAAATCTCTGGCGTTATATGGGTTCATTGAAATGCCATCACAGAAGACACCTGTGCCATATTCCACCTTTGAACAAGATGGGCAACATATATACATATGTTGCCCATCTCTTTATGATGAGATCCGTAATTCAAGAAAACAATGTGAAATTTCAAATCACGACTTCGTCCTCTCAAATGCTCTAGTAGTTCCTACAGAAGTTCGGAATGTTGTGATGATCATCATGGCGTCGATGGTATCATTTCTGACCAATTTGATAGTGGGACCTTGTAGTGAAGAATATGCCCAATTTTATGTCGTTCGAATAGAATTGAAAATCGCCATTTTAGATGGTCTCAATTCGGAAATATACACATTATTTTGTGGCGATCCGACAAACGTGAGGTATTTGATGAACCATTTACATGAAAAAATTAGAAATGAGAGGTTTGATTGTAAGGATCGGTTAAGATTTACAAACGATATTAGGTCAATGTAGGAGAGGTGACAAATTTCACCTTATTCGGATAAATAATGCGACCGGAGATTTCTTTACAAAAATACGTATATGTACATATCGACTCCGAAAATTATTTAAGTACATCCTCAAAGCAACCCTTAATACCCCGGTGTAGAGTATAACAAATTATAACAACTACTTATAGTTGTGGACGAACTCACTGACAATTTTTTTTCATATTTTAAAACATTTTTCTATCGTATGATTATGTTGATTCTTATTAGTGTTCGGATTTGTATACCACATAGTATTTTCATATTTGTTTTAATATAAAAAATAAATATACTAATTCTTAAATCTACATAAAATTTATTGCATATGTGTTTTAGTACACAAAAAACACTCACCCATATTTCTTTCCATTTATCAATTTCAGATGACATCGAAGATGATGATGCCGTTGCTGAGGATGATGTTGAGCCAGAACCTGAAAAAGAATATTCATCGCTTAAGGATATGCTCAATGATGGCAATGATGATGATGACTATTATGGTTATGATGAAGATAACTATTAGAAAACATACAGATGTGAACATACATATGTGTTATATGTATGCATATATATACACACAATTAATATACAGATAGATATCGATATTCATATATATATATATATATATTTGTTTATAGAAATAATATAAACAACCAAACAAAATAACAAAGTCATTGATTGCTTTGCTTAGTTGTATGCTAAGACATGTTTTTCCTTTTTCTTTTCATTTCTCTACATTTATTTTTTGATAATACTAAATAATAAGTTTTTATAATTTAGTTACTATTCATATAAAAATATGAAATTGTATTTCAGTTTATTTTTTTTTCTTGTATTTTTTTTACAATACATTCGACTTCATTGTGATTATAATTGTGTATCAATTCTTTTAGATATTCATAGCTGTCATTGTGTTTTATTTATCGATTTCATCTTAGAATATATACAGAGTTAGGTTTTGTTTTAGTTTAGTTTAATTTTCATTTCATCTTTTTTATGTGTATTAGATAATAATAACAATGATATTGTAATCAAGTTTATTTTTTGTATTTTCTCAAACTATAATACTATTAAATAAAATGGCATTTTTTTGGCATAAAAATTTCACTTTGGAGGATTTATTTTATGTAGCTTCTGAATGTGATTGTTTAATCGCAAAACTGAAATCGTGAATAATATAAATTTATAGTCATGTTTGAACATTTCCATATTCCGTTGCTGGTCCAGTTGAAAAAATATTAAAGAAAAAAACAGTAAGTAAAGTCGGACTGGGCGGACTATATGATGCCCTTCACCACTTTGGGTATATTGTATATCGTTAGCTAAAATGCAAAAAGGCGTAACTAACAAAAGCATAATTGTGTAGGAGAAGCAAAAAACTGTTTTGAATGAAAACTATAAACATGTCATGTGAAATGAAAAAGTATGCCCGGCAGGGTGATATTGCATATGACGAATAATAGACTATAATTTTTTAACAAATTTAGTTATTTAGTTTAATGGCAGTCATAACAATTAAATAAAAATTTGAATTTTTTGTTAGTTACGCCTTTTTGCATTTATCAAATAAACCCACATGTAGTTACGACTTTTTGTTTTTTGTTAATAGAAGCTTCTTTTTCGACCGCAGACGTGTAAAACTTTGTCAACACATCGACGCCTCCGAACCATAGTATGCTAAGTCTGAAAAGTGAGTTTTTCAGTAGAAGCTTTCAAAGTATGGAAGTTTCTTTTATCGTACGTGCCATGCTAAGTACATTTTTGCTTATAACTTTGGTTTGGATTGCCCGATGATTACCAAAATTTCAGTGAATTTAAATTAAGGACCGTAGTATCTATAAACGTAAAGAACTTTAAAACATGCTAAGTCGACTTAGCATACTATGGTTCGGAGGCGTCGACATGTAGTTTATTGACATTCACAATATTCATTCAAAAAGTCAATTTTCAATTTTTTGTTAGTTACGCCTCTTTGCATTTTAGCTGACGATATATTTATCCTTACAATTGTATGTCAATGTTCCCTCGAAGGAACATACTCATGTCTTTCTGCAACCTTTGATAAATTTAATTTCATTCGGACAGATTTAGAGTCGTCTGCGTACCATGGGACAAATTTATGGAATAGGATTTATAGCAAAATTGATACACGCTATCGAAAGATATGTAGGGGCTTTGGTGCCCCATTTACCTCAAATCGGACGAAAATATATGATTTTCTCGAAACTTGACACACATCATTCTAGCCTCAATTCAGTATGCTATGCAAAATTTCGCGCGAATCGAAAAATACGTAGGGACTTTGGAGCCCCATTTACCTCAAATCGGACAAAACTATATATGGGAGCTATATCTAAATCTGAACCGATATTCCCGAAACTTAGCACATATCATTCTGGGCCTAATTCAGTAACATATGTCAAATTTCATGCAAAGCGAAAGATATGTGGGGACTTTGGTGCCCCATTTACCTGAAATCGGAGGAAAATATATATGAGAGCTATATCTAAATCTAACCCGATTAACTTGACACACATCATTCTAGTCCCAATTCACTACATTGCATTGACAGACATCATTCTAGCCTAAATTCAGTACACTATACAAAATTTCGCGCGAGTCCAAAGATATATAGGGACTTTGGTGCACCATTTACATAAAATCGGACAAAACTATATATGGGAGCTATATCTAAATCTGAACCGATATTCACGAAACATTGCACACATCATTCTGAACCTAATTCAGAACTCTATACCAAATTGCATACACATCGAAAGATATATAGGGACTTTGGTGCCCCATTTACCTTAAATCGGACGAAAATATATATGGGAGCTATATCTAAATCTGACCCCGTTTCCTCGAAACTTGACACACATTATTCTAGCCTCAATTCAGTATACTATGCTAAAACGAAAGATTTCTGACACACATCATTCTAGCCTAAATTCAGTACACTATGCAAAATTTCGCGCGAGTCGAAAGATATATAGGGACTTTGGTGTACCATTTACATAAAATTGGACGAATATATATGTATATATATGTATGGGAGCTATGTCTAAATCTGATCCAATTTTCACGAAACTTTGCACACATCATTCTGGACCTAATTCAGAACTCTATGCCAAATTTTATAAAAATCGAAAGATATGTAGGGACTTTGGTGTCCCATTTACCTTAAATCGGACGAAAATATATATGAGAGCTACATCTAAGTCCGATTCGATTTTCTTCAATTTCAATAGGGTTCGTCCTTGGGCTAAATAAGTGAGCTGTGCCAAATTTCATCCAAATTGGATCATAAATGCGATCTGTACTTTGTTTACAATTTAACATCTACAGACGGACAGATGGATGGACGGATATGCATAAATTGACTCAGAAAGTGATTCTATGCATATTCTCAAAAGGAACCATGTGTCTATCTCGTTTACTTTTGCCTGTTACAAACATATGCACAAAGACATAATAACCTGTGCAACAGTGTGGTGAAGGGTAAAAAAATATTCTTTAAAAAGTCCACGTTAATTTTTAGAAGTCCCCGTCTCTTACAGATCCTTAAAAAATATTTTAAAAAATCTACGTCTTTTACAGATGACTGACTAAATATTTTCAACGCCTCTTGAAAAATATTTCAAAACATTCATGAAAAAATATTAAAAAAAAAAAAAAATTCACGCCTCTTTTAAAATCTTAAAAAAAAATTTTAACAAATTCACGCCTATTTTAGAATCCTGAAAAATATTTTAAAAAATCCAAGTACATTTGGAATCCCGAAAGAATATATAGAAAATTCCACGCCTCTTTTAGAATCTGTAAGTTTTTTTTTCAAAAATCTTTGTCGTTTTTTTTGGACTCTTGAAAGAATTTTTTTGAAAAAGTCGACGCATCTTATATCCTTTATATATTTTTTTCCTGTAAAAACTACGAATTTTTTAGTCTCTTTATGGTCTATTATTTAATTTTTTTTAAAATAAGGGTTCAATGAATAATAATTTTTCAAAATAAATTGCGTTATATAAGATGTGGACATCACTGGCCTTATCTAAAACTGTGGATTGTATTATTAATCTTACTGAATATATGTAGCATACTTTTAGGCAGATAATTTATTAAATTATCTTGTTGTACTTTCAATTTATTTTATTTATTTTCAGATGAATGTATGTTACTATTGAAGCGATTAATATTAAAGCGTTTTAAAATAATACATTCGTTTTTCTCTTTTGATCGATATTCAATAATTCCCATTATCCACTTCACCAATAATCTCTCGCATTCATTCAGAGTGTAAAGATAATTTTATAAAAAAAAAAACAAAAGTGAAAACGTTCATTTCCTCTGTTCAATTAAATTCACATTCATTGTGTCCCCTTAAATCTTTTTGAATTTCTCAAATATTAATATGCACTTGAAAATAATTTACTTAACCATTGTCATAATTATTTTACATTTGTGTACGATGATGACTCCATTCACACCCACCCGCCCACTCTCATGCATTCATTTTGAAGTTCAAATAATATTTATTACCACGAACCGCTACAAAAAAAGGCGAGCAAATATCCAACAATATTTGTAAAGGCAGATAGTGAAATGATGTGAACTGCCGCCGCAGCCGCCGTCGTCACCGCCAACACCACCAAATGATATGATATTATCACATGAATAAACATTGATTAAATGTTTATTAAAATACAGTTAAATTGCAATCCATTCATTCATTCGTTCTGCCATTATTATTAACATAATAAATAATTTTGCAATAATTAAAACACGACAATGGTTTATAAATATTGGTTAAGATATATGTACGTATACATTTATAATCGGAAAAAGAACAAAAATGCATTGACCAATGTGATGACATAATATGTACCAATATTTATATAATAAAATTAAAATTATAATTTAAAATATATTCTGCTACTTATGTATTATATAGCATTTAAAATTAAGCTACTGTTAACCTCAACAGAGGTCATAATCTTTTTTATACCTTCCTAGCACTATATCTTGGAGTTGGGTGTTTGGGAGCTATATATAAATCTGAACCGATTACGATAAAAGTTTATACACTTCATTCTATGCCCAAACTAGGACGATATGCAAAATTTCTGAGAAATATTGGAACTGTAGTGTACTTTTGTAAATTAAGACGAAACTATATGGGAGCATATCCAAATCTGAATCAAATATCAATAGGGTTCTTTCTAGGACCTTACTTCTTCGAAAACGACATAAAAAGACTGCCACCTTTAATTGTGAGTATTATGGTCATATGATAACCGTCCTTTCACCTGTTATTGATTAATACGACTGACAGAATATGTGATTTAAACAAGACAGTGCCATATACCACACAGCCGGGTCGAATTTGGCTTTATTGCAATATACATTTCCTGGTCGCGTAATTTCTCGTCGTGGCAATAATTGTACCCTTCACCACACTGTGGTGACAAAGACATAATACCCTGTTTATGTCTTTGTGCTTATGTTTGTAACAGACATAAAGATATG